TTGAATAGAGCTTTTAAAAGAGCAGCATTTATTTGAAATAGGATTTTGTGCAACAATGTAAACATTTTTGCTGTCGCTTTTTATCAATTTATTGCGTCCTTGCTGAATAAGAATAATTTATTTTGAAAAAAAAAAAAAAAAAACTTACTGACCCCAAACTATTGAATGGTGGAATATGGTGGAATGGTGGAATATATTTAATATTTGTTATAAAACAGAACAATGACCAATTATAACTACATCAGAACATTAAGTAGATTATAAATCAATGCCCTAAGGGGCACCAGTAGAGCTCTGCCTGATCTTTGATCTTCTGGTTTTTCTGCTCCTTCCACCATCCCAAGTCTCTTACATTACGGAGCCCCTTTAATATAAGTTTTTTAAAATAAAAAAAAATGAATATGTTAAATTTTCAGCAGCCATTACTCTTCAGTGTCATACAATCCAAAATAAATTATTAAAATATTAAAATATGCTGATTTGGTGCTCAAGAAACATTTCTTGTTAGCAGTCAAAAACATTTGTACTGCTTCATATTTTTGTTGAAACCGTGATACATTTTTTTCAGAATCCTTTGAATAGAGCTTTTAAAAGAGCAGCATTTATTTGAAATAGGATTTTGTGCAACAATGTAAACATTTTTGCTGTCGCTTTTTATCAATTTATTGCGTCCTTGCTGAATAAGAATAATTTATTTTGAAAAAAAAAAAAAAAAAACTTACTGACCCCAAACTATTGAATGGTGGAATATGGTGGAATGGTGGAATATATTTAATATTTTTTATAAAACAGAACAATGACCAATTATAACTACATCAGAACATTAAGTAGATTATAAATCAATGCCCTAAGGGGCACCAGTAGAGCTCTGCCTGATCTTTGATCTTCTGGTTTTTCTGCTCCTTCCACCATCCCAAGTCTCTTACATTACGGAGCCCCTTTAATATAAGTTTCTATTTCAGATGTTGTGGCCTGGCTGTTTTTTGTTCCCGCATCTAAGTGAGAAAGAAAACAGCAATTAAAATATAAATATATATTTAAAAAGAAAAAACTAAACAAAACCTTGACTGTTAGAGCATTTCTACCTCAAGAAGTCTCCCAGGGCACCAATAATCTTTTGTGGAACTTTTATTAATGTTAAAAACAAATTTATGCTTTGTTGATGGCAGAGATACACTAAAAGAGACAAAGAGTGCGAATGAATAGCATGACTAAATGAGACAATGAAAGAGCTGTGGTTGATTGAAACAGAGACTGAAATTAAAGGAAAACAGTGAGTGAAATTAAAATAATTTATATACATTTTCAAATTTCTGTTCTAAAAACATGTTGACTCAGTTGTTGTAGGCAAATCTAAGGTATCCCATATGTGTGTGTTGTGTTCATTTTTTTCCACTTCAGCAACAGTAGGCAATATTGAGTACATATTTAAAGGGGTCATATGATGCGATTTCAAGTTTTCCTTTCTCTTTGGAGTGTTACAAGCTCTTGGTGCATAAATAAGATCTGTAAAGTTGCAAAGTTATTATATTAGCATAATGCCGCCCAAATGTGCACGCAAAGAAAGAAGGCATGGTTTCAGGAACAGCAAGAGAGGCAGGGCCGGATTAACAAACTGAAGCCTCAGGGCCCGAGCGACGAGGGGGCCCGTGATTGGCTGTGGAGTAGATTGACTGAAGCACCAATCGCCAAAGCCCCACCACGCCCCCATTTATTAGCGCTATTATTTAGTGGAGCTTTGCCGTAAATTCCATGTATTACCATTAGATATTGAAACGTCACGTTTGAATTTGGTTTACCAATCAAATGCATTTATTCTGTATTTGACTTTTGAACGAACTGTACGCGTATCTATCAGGTGATCGCTGCGCCTGATGTCCGCATTCACCTCCACTCTTCACTTCGTTCTGGCATAATCTGGAAATGGTCACGCAAAGAACAATCTTCGATAAATAAAAATATAAGCTATTCTAAAAAAAATGAATAGCTGTTACGGGGCGAACGAGACGTGAGACGTGCGGATCCATCTGCAAAGCTTTTATTAAAAGGCGTGGTCATAAAAACAGGCAAGGTTCTGACAATGGCAAACAGGTATATTGAGGGCAAGACAAAAGAGGAATCCAAAACAAGCAATAATCCAATTATTAACAAAGCTGCGATTATTGAGTGGCTTGCATGCTACAAATAATGAATGGACTTGAAAATTTTAAACATCATTTCCAAGCATTAGCCTATACCGTAAATAAAACAGCTTGTGAATAGTCACGATTCACGTAACGTTATTTACTTCAGAAAAATCAACAATAGGGCCTAAGTTAAGTTAACCGAGTTGGAGCCCATAACGTTTGGGGGGCCGTACACATTTTTTGCATATGGGCCCGGGGCTGACTCGTTTCGCCCTACGACTGTGATCATAAGGCTTCAGTAGATATCAACACATGAACAATAGGCTACTATATGAGCTACAGCCTTATTTTAATAGACATAACATTTGAATATGAAAATATGTCAAACTGGGTAGACCAATTTCAAAACATTTTCAAATAGGCCTATGTATAAACATTTATTAATCATTTATCAATATATAGGCTCACGTGTCATTATTTATTTAGCAAAAATAAAGCCAAAATGGAAAAGCCAGTGCAGACATTATGCATATGGAATTAAGTGAAACCTTTCAAAGTAATAAGTGAAACAAACCAGCACATTGCAAATTTAAATTGTCGAATTAAAATTGTATTTAGATATTTTGGTAATACCACCCTGGTGTTATTGTATTACATTGGAGACAAGTGTCTTGATTGCTACACTGGACTGCATTTCATTGATCTGATTTCTCTCTTTCCAGAGAAGAAACACCTGTTCCTCAGGATGTGCTGAGTGTAATTTCTCAGAGCCTGCAATCATTAAGTGCAGAGCTCAGACAGGCTGCTGCAGATACACACTCTGATCACTTTTACTTTCGACTGGAATGCATTGTCCATGTTTTGTCCAGATTTGTTGTGTATGGACCACTGCAACACGAAGAGGAGATATTTTCCCTTTTAAATTATGCGTTACATGAACTACATATCTTTTCTTTGCCAGTCCAAACTTGTGAAAGGTTTTTGTAGAAAATCACTCCCTGCCCTCCAAAAAAAAAAAAAGTAAAGAAAAAAGTAGCCTCCATAACTCTTAGATTTATTATCAAAGTCCTTTGCATACACCGTAACAAAAAGCTCCTCACCAGTTTGGTAGCTCTCTTTCAGGTTCTCAATGTTGAATGTGGTGTGGGCTGGACTAGTACTCGTGGACACACTTGTGATTGATCTGTCAGGCCCGTCCCAGTAAACAGCCTGCTGTAACCTGGAGTAGCCATCTAAACTGATTCCAAAATCAGAGTAAAAAGAGTTTATCTCAGTCACTAACTGAGACTTTTCTGAGACTTCTGAATTGATTCCTGCAGGAGAGCCAGAGTTCTGGAGTCCTGCACAGTGCTGAGACAAAAAGCTGGGTGAAGGGCGTTTCTTTCTTTCATTTCCCATATAAGACCATATAACCTACAAATACACAATAGTCTATTATTATTATTTTTTACTCATTTTACTGTTATTAAACATCCAGTCTACATTTGATTCTAAATCAAAAACAGGGAATCTGTTGTAGTTTTTTTTCTTTTAGACAAAGACCTTCAGACATTTACACACTTCAAACATTGTTATGTAATCATTCAAAGACCTGCATGCCCTGCTCATTTATCATGGCCCACTTAACATCAGAGCTATAGAATGAGTACAATGCATAATTAATAGGGCTCTGTGACGGTGGCAGATTTTTACCACCGCGGTGGTAATGGACCAACTACCGCCGGTGGCGTGGTGTTGATATAAATATACATATATATACTTTGCTTGGATGCCAACTAAAAACAAAAACGAGATATGAAATATATAGTGTATCACCATTCAGTGTGTTAAAAAAGGGAGAAGCTCTCTGGTAAATGTTGTGTGTTTATACACATACCTCTGATGACCGAGAACAGTGCACTCTTTTCAAATGCCTCTTTCTGCAGCGGACCACCCCCCTTCATGTTGAATTTGGACATGAGGGAATTTTTTTAAACCCTAAAATACATATAGACCATGTCATGCAATGACACGTATGGCTTTGTATATATTATTGACACTGCGAACATGATGGGATATCAATCTCATGCGCTGTCTGGCCAAAACCTACAGTGAATCAGGTTTGACTATAAGTGGGCTACAGATAGCCGCTCGGACTACGAGCTAAATCGTGGCAACACACAGGCTACGTATTGAACATGTCAAAGAAATGAAAATCTATATAGATTACTTTTATGCGGGCAGGAGCGGGACAACACATGAATGTCGCGGGCGGGAGCGGGACCAGATAAGACATATTTCTGCGGGAGCGGGCGGGCGCGGGACTGAGAAATCCGTCCCGCGCAGGTGTCTACCTTGCGCCACTTCCCGTAATGGGCTCTCTTGGTGTAGACACGGCTTTAGATACGGATTAATCGGCTGATTAATCACACGTTTTAGGCTGGAAATATCCAGAATTAGATCAAACAAAAGGTGTACATGGGAAGCCTATAGATCTATGGCCTACAGGCTAATTTAATTATTTTTTAATCTTGACTTTTAACTTCTTCTTAAAATTTGTTATGAAGAATTACATGAAGGCTATGAAGGCTAGGCTAATGAATTTTCATCATAAGCAATATACGAACATAACGAATACCCTAGCTATTCTATAAAACAAAATTTTCATTAAAAAAAGCCATAAATCACGAATATGATGAAATAAAAAACTATTCATATTTATATATAAATTAATTATATATAATAGTTTTATGTCAAATGGATAAGGAAATGGCACTATAGAGGGGTGTGTGCTTGTTAATACAAATTATCCAGTTGTTACAAATATACAATTAAACGAGAAGACAGCGCACTCTGTAATAATTTCAGACTTCATCGTAGATGTTTTTTATAAGAATGGGCTCTTCCTCACTCTCTGAGCCTGCTTCTGCCTCATCTTCAGTGGAAGTAGGGTGCACCCATTTACTTTAAAAACTGCTTTTGGCTTATCAAAGTAAAATTGTAGCCTAACAGATGTAATGGTTGTTGCACGAGTTAGTGCACTCTCAGGGCTGGGTTGCGGCAGGAAGGGAATCCGGCGTAAAACGTGCCAAAGCGGTTGTGCGGATCACTCCGCTGTGGTGACCCCTGATAAAAGGGAGCAAGCCGAAGGAAGAGAGAGAGAGAGATGTAATGGTTCTTACATCAAAGCAAATTTATCCAGGTCTAAAAATATTTATGATATATATAGGTGATTTTGCAACATATAAAACCATGCAAATCATTTAGCTAAATATTAGCCTGAACTGGTAAGCAACAGTAGCTATTTTTTTCCAAAATGGCAGCTATGGGGCAAAGTAAGCCAAATGCTGTGGGGTAAATTGAGTCAGCATTTTAACTTACCCCACCATAAGGCACTGTAGTTAAGTTAAATCTCTGAATTATAAACTGGTATTTTAATGTGATATATTACTGGTTTAGTTTATCATATATACATATTCTGTAGCTTATTTCATAGGGACAGTGTACAAGTGCACCAAATCCTTCTCTGATAAGAACCAGAAAATGCTTTTCATCGCATTATAATCAGATATATATTTCCTCCTGTAGTCACTAACGGCCAACAAACTCTCCGTTTAGTCTGTTTTAGGAAGGCTACAACTTTAGTGTTCAATATATTGTTTCAGAAATGCAAACAATTAAATATTGACATTTAAACTTCATTTGGCTGGTTTTATGTTGTTAAAGTTAACTTCATGAAAATAATTTTTAATAAGTTTTTAAATTATTATTTATTTCACATGGGTTTGAATCAGATTTGGTCAGATGGTCATTTTACACTCAGATGGTGCATCTCGACTCGGGTCAACTTACTCCTAACCCGGGGCAAACTGAACCATGGGAATGCTTTTTTTATAAGAAGCCATATTCTTAGAACCCTTTGTATAGATACATTCTGATCATTTAAAATGATAGGAATACTTTCATTAGGATAGGATAGGATAGATACTTTCATTGTACTTCTGCATCATTTTAACTTATCTTGAGGACCACATAAGTAAAAAATGGCTAATCTTACCCCACTCTCCCCTATAAGTATTAGACTTTTAATTTAATATTTTACAGCATAAATCTATATTATATACTAATAAACAACTCATTTAGAACATTTATATTATTTTTAAGTATTTAGGCTATATGCCTACTATTAATATGGTTTTAATAAAATATGTGTTGTAGATTACTAGTATCAAGACAAGTGATTATAATGAGAAATATACTTAATTACAAAAATTAAAGTGTGACAAACTGCTAAATATTCTATATGATGATTTAACTGCTGGCTTACTGGAGCTTTGTATTTATGTTTTCAATGTTGAACTGCCTTTAGCAGCCTCCCTTCGCTCTTTCTCTCTGTCTCATGGGCGTCGCTAGGCCATTTTTAGGGGGCTATAGCCCTTATTATTATACCCTCATTGGGGGCTGAGCCCCCCTAAAACGAACATTTTAGAATCGCCCCTGCTCTGTCTCCGTCTTCTTTTTTGCGAAGACATTTTTTTTGTCTACAAAGTGCGCCAACAACAGCGAATTTTGTGTTATTTATATTAGATCTGATCGGGTACAATAATTCGATTAGACATTCTAATTCTAAGACCGTGGATATTTTGTTATCACTTTTAAAAGACCGAGAGCAAATCATTACCGACAGAAATACAAAAACAAACTACCAAATTACTAATTCAGCGAATCATCCACTGACTGTAATGTGGATTGTAATGCATCTACCTGTTAATGCAACGACATTGCTTGGGAACTGTGGTCTCCACTCCAGCTCGTGAGAAATGCTGCGGAGCGGGAGGGAAAACACGGAGCGGATTAGCGGAATCAGCGGCTCTTTAGCGGAGCGGAGAACAGACCGCTTTGAACTGGGGTGATGGGGGGATTGGTGAAAGGGGCAACTCTGCCGATGAGGGCAAAGGGGCAGTGGCTCTAGCCACCGGGCCACCCCCCTGTGCACGGCTCTGAGCATGGCAAATCTTGTTCATCACCATAATTGATAGAAGTCTAAATTAAAAAAAATAAATAAAATAAAAAATAAGGAGGAGGCTAAAACAGGCACAATGCCCACCCGCATCTGAGTTATGATGTGAAAAAAAGCCCGGACCAAGGGGCGTAAGTCAGGGCCCCTCGGGCTCGGGCTGAAATGCAGGGCTCTAGATGTAACAACACACTGAATAGAGTTGCTACTCGCGGAATATTAAAATTGGCAAGGTGTATTTGTCCGTTAAAGCGCAAGCGACGCGCTTAAAATAATTCCAAATAAATCGTGATTTGGGGCCCCCTAGCTTCCTGGGCCCATATGCCTGGCATATTCAGCACCAAACCACCCCCCCCCCATAAAACCCTTCTTCATTACAATACAAAATAACAAGTGTCTATAAAAATATTATGAAAGCAATAAGTGTTGTATTTTTTCATCATTATGTTTAAATATTTAAATTGTTAAATAACCATTTAACAAGTCACATAATAATCAATCATTACTGCTTAAAATTATAATATTAATATTATATTATAAGTAAAACTAATCATAAAACATTTGTAATCATTCAAAAAATACTGGCCATTTAATCTTATTAAAAATGCTAATGTTTTAGATAAATGCTTAATCTAAAATGCTAATGTTGTCCACACGAGGGAGCCACAGGATAACAAATCCTTCAAGATCTTTGTCTCTGCTCTTTGCAGGATTCTATGAGTCTACGTCTCCTTCAGGACTCAATCCAGAAGAGTCAGTTGTAAACTCTGCCTACTAGTACTTCGATCCCTATGGTGATTCATTCCCTTCTTTCAACAAATCAGAGACGTCATATGAACTAATTAATATTCACGAGCCAAGCCTTCAGAGTAGGAATGATAAAATTAAAATAAAACTCAGGAGTGTAGATGAGACAACCTGAAAAGCACAGACTGAAACAGACTTCACATGAGAAACATTTACCATTAAATTAAAACACCGTTGGACTATTACTTTTACAGTTATATGTCTTATAAAGTATGCCTTCAAACAATGAAATGGAACTTGAATCTCGGGGACCAACACTGTAAGTTATTTCAGAATACTTCTAAATATTAATAGGACAATTGCAGATGCAGATGATCGGCTCATAGCACAGCTGCTTTAACTTTCAATAGTCTCACCAAAAAAACAAAAAAAAAAAAGAGGAAGAAATAAAACAAGGGAAAAAATATTTATAATTAGAAATCTTTTCATTTTGTTGTTCCTTTTGGCAACATTTCCTCCAATTCAGCATTGATTTTTATTGAAATTTGTTCATAACCACAGCAGTTTAATAAAATTAATAAAAAAATTAATAAAAAAAGTTTAATAAATTGACAACATATTGCTTTTACAGTTCACAAGGAAAGATCATGTTTACGGAGGTTTTTTACTGGGCTGTGTCTACTGGTAATCATTTGTTTTCTGGTAAGTTCATTAAAATATGTATTTCGGATAACAAATCCTTCAAGATCTTTGTCTCTGCTCTTTGCAGGACTCTATGAGTCTACGTCTCCTTCAGGACTCAATCCAGAAGAGTCAGTTGTAAGCTCTGCCTACTAGTACCTCGATCCCTATGGTGATTCATTCCCTTCTTTCAACAAATCAGAGACGTCATATGAACTAATTAATATTCATGAGCCAAGCCTTCAGAGTAGGAATGATAAAATTAAAATAAAACTCAGGAGTGTAGATGAGACAACCTGAAAAGCACAGACTGAAACAGACTTCACATGAGAAACATTTACCATTAAATTAAAACACCGTTGGACTATTACTTTTACAGTTATATGTCTTATAAAGTATGCCTTCAAACAATGAAATGGAACTTGAATCTCGGGGACCAACACTGTAAGTTATTTCAGAATACTTCTAAATATTAATAGGACAATTGCAGATGCAGATGATCGGCTCATAGCACAGCTGCTTTAACTTTCAATAGTCTCACCAAAAAAACAACAAAAAAAAAGAGGAAGAAATAAAACAAGGGAAAAAATATTTATAATTAGAAATCTTTTCATTTTGTTGTTCCTTTTGGCAACATTTCCTCCAATTCAGCATTGATTTTTATTGAAATTTGTTCATAACCACAGCAGTTTAATAAAATTAATAAAAAAATTAATAAAAAAAGTTTAATAAATTGACAACATATTGCTTTTACAGTTCACAAGGAAAGATCATGTTTACGGAGGTTTTTTACTGGGCTGTGTCTACTGGTAATCATTTGTTTTCTGGTAAGTTCATTAAAATATGTATTTCTCACAGTTGCTTAGTTATTAATCTTGTTCTGTACACACACAGTTCAGTAATTTACAGGACTTTTACAATTATTTTTTACAAAAATTCTATGCAGTGTTCGTAAAAGAACTGAACAACTAATGTTAATCAGAGGTGGACAGTAACAAAGTACATTTACTTGATTACTGTGGCACACTTTTTAAATGTCTATACTTTGAGTATTATCTTTTCTGGAAACTTATGACTTTAACTTCACTACATTTGAAAGACAAATATCGTACTTT